GTGATTACAAGCGGGATCCCCATAAGACTTTTGCATCTTTATGGGCCTCTAAAAGCATTGCCCGCCTCGCCCGCCCCCCCCAGCAGAGACCTGCCATGTCCCTCAGCACTAAACCCTCTGCTCGCTAAAGAACAGCTCAACTCTCACTGAGGTGATCAATTTTTCATGCAGACGCTGCCTCTCAAGGACCAAGCTGTGGCATTTGTAAGAGAGCTGCTAATTATTAATTTAAAGGACTTGAAGCTTCGTGGTTTGGGGCAAGGCTGGGGTGGGGAGCGGGAAGGAGCCCTCGGTGGGAGCCGTTCAGTACATGTTCATGGCCGACGATGCTCTGATCTGGCCCAGGAACTCTGCGCCAGAATCCGAGGCTGCGTTCGTAAAACAACGTGCTCGCCCGCGAACCCGACTGGATTTGCGCGTTGCACAAAGCTTAAACTAGCCACCAGTGGGTGGGTCTGTCTAATCTCAACCTTGGGAAATTTGGCTGGCCGGGGAATTCTGGGAGTTGAAGACCACGCATCTTAAAGTTCCCAAGGTTGAGAAACACATGAGGCTCAAATGCAGAGTTGTGTGAATCCAAGCAGAGGATAGATGAGGAGGTCCAAAAGGAGAGACGGATTTATGGTGGACAGAGAGTCGCAACAGGTTTGGGGCAGGAATGCTGCCTAAAAGAGAAGTTTCTTCCCAGGAGAATCTCCGCTTCTCTGTTCTTCCTGCTGAGCTAAAAGCTGATTCTACCTCCTTCAGCCTTACTGAGGGAAAAGGGTGCTTAAGGGCAGTCTCTCAATCCGTCAGCCCTTCAAGGCAGACCAGACTTGGAAACCAGTGCCATACAGGTTGGAACTACTCTTTCTGGGAAGCCATAGTCACAGAATCTTCAAGTCTGAACGTGCGTGCGTGCACACACACACACACATGCACACCCCTTTATCTTTATGTGAACTGAGGAGCTTGTCTGAGATGTTTACTCATGTTACATTCTTAGCCCGGGCTCAACCCCCTTTTATCTGACAACAACTCCTGTCCCTCAAGGCCGTTCTCTCTTCCTCTTACTTTACCTAATCCAATCCAATCCAATCCAATCAATTAGGTAGCTTTGGGGCTACAGCTGTGGGATGTCCTGGTGGTGTCCCATCTACGAACTGATTGATTGATTGATTGATTGATTGATTGATTGATTTAACAAACTTATTTAGCCACCCATCTAAGGTGGAAAGGAACTCATTGGAGATAAAAAGGGTAAAGCCTCCCTGGAGTCCAGCTTGACTCTTGGCGATTTCATGGACATGCCCACCTTGTTTTCTTGGCAATGATTCCAAAGTGGGTCTCTTGCCTTCTTCCAGGATGGTCATTCAACTTCTCTCAGTAGCTTCAGCCTGAGCATTTCCCGGTGGTCTCCCATGCAAGGAATAACCTGTCTGAGCTTCTCCAGCCTTTCAAGATGACCCAAAGTCTCACTGAGTTTACATTAAAGCAAGTCAACTT